AGGTCAGTATTGCTGGGTTGATTGATGTTTGCACTATCAGCCACAATAGAGTGGAGCTAGAATGTTCTCTGCCTTCTTGAAGGAGCTGGTCTGGTAGGTAGTCTGTGTGGGTCCAGGCTGTCTTGTCATTGAAAACCGCCTTCGTGGCAAGGGTGACACTGCTGACGTAGTTGGTGGAGCACGAGTGCTCTTGCTAAAGGCCCCCCTGCTCATGCTTTGGGGGACAGAGTTGCTGATGTAACCAGTAAGCTGAGTCATCCGTTTCTCTGTGTCTCCTGGGCTGGCGGGTTCAGCTCGGAGTCCAGGTCCTCACAGGAACTCCCAGTGCATTTCTTATTTGCACAGTACATTTACGATGAAGTCATTTCTCTTGTGATTGGATAGATCATTGCAAATGCGGGTACGAAGAACAAAATGTATTACCTGTCTTCTTTCTGAGTGCCTAAGAGAGTCTCTGTGGAGTGGTAAATGAAGTTCTTAAATCTGGAATAGTCACTTGCAGTGATCAGATGGTGGTTATCCCCATGGTTTTGGGTTCAGGCCCACCAGAAGCACTGCACTTCTTGCAGCCCTCTGAGCAGTCTGGAGGAGACTTTGGGGGTTCTTGGGCGTTTAGTGGACACACGAACCACAGCAGGCAGCGTTCCTGCAGGCTGATCATGGTTTTAGTGCTTGCTGATCTTATTCTGCCTTTACCTGGGAATCTCAAAGTGCTTTGTAACTGTGAACCCACTCCTCTGTGCAAGTCTCTTGTGAAGCAGATGGCACTTCTCCCCACTAAACCTGTGGAGAGAGAAACCAGTCAGTTGAGGTTGCTTTGTCCAACACTACAATCTCCTGGGGAAGGAAATGTCGGGGTCTCTTGAGCTGCTGGAACCAGTACAGATAAACATACTGCTGGGAAGGATTAAAGTGGTTTATATATCGGACCCCCTTATCTACAGGGGAACATTCCGTGATCCCCAGGGGGTGCCTAAAACCATGGACAGTACCAGACCCTATGTATACCTTGTTTTTTCCTAGACGTACTTACCCATGATAACGTTTATAAATTAAGTGCAGTAAGAGGTTCACAATAATAGCTAATAATGAAATAGAACAATTATAGCAATATATTGTAAATAAAGTTCTGTGACTGGGGTCTCTCAAAATCATCGCATTGAGCCGCACTCCCCTTTGTTGCAACGCTGTGAGATGAAGTGCCTACGTGACGGGAGGAGGGAGGGGAGTGTTGTGGGCCTGCGGCATCGGGTGAGGCTACTGCTGACCTGACTGTGGGGCAGGTGCAGGATCATCTGTTCGCAGACTGTGGTCGTCCGCAGATAAGGGGGGACACCTGTACTCAGAAGGCACCTATGGGAGGACTAGGTATGTGCTATTTAAGACTTCCCTGTTCTGTCCAGCTAAAGCTTTTTTTTAAAGATTTTATTTTATTTATTAGAGAGAGAGGCAGGAGAGAGGGAACACAAGCAGGGGGAGTGGGAGACGGAGAAGCGGGCTTCCCGCGGGAGTGGGAGACGGAGAAGCAGGCTTCCCGCTGAGCAGGGAGCGCGATGCAGGCTCGATCCCAGGACCGTGGGATCATGACCTGAGCCGAAGGCAGATGCTTAACGACTGAGCCACCCAAGTGCCCCTCCAGCTAAAGCTTCTTGAAGAAGGGTTCACAGGCACAGCTTTGGGGCAGATGAGAGTTCAGGAGCATTTGTGTGTGAAGCCTGGGGCAGGGTGGGTGTTGTCACATTGGCGTTTCCTTAATTGGAGTAAAGCAGAGATAGAACATTTTTAGATAAAAACTGATTTTGCCTTCAAACTCATGGGCTGGTTATCGGGAGCTATTAACAGATGTTTTGCCAGTTTTAGCATAAAACTGACAAAAGGTATGTGACAGGTGCGTGTTGATGGGTCTCCTCTGGGCTCTGAAAAGGGGTCTGTTCTTCTGGTCCAACGTCAGTAAGAAATGCACAGCGATGTCCTGTTCCTCAGGAAGGGGAGAGGTTTGCAGGAGTCTCCTTATGGGAACCAGTTCCACTTGAGAAGTGCCCTGACTGTTCCAGGATGCGTGCGGCTCAACACCGGGGGTGGGTGGACTGAAGCCGTGTGGGTGTTTGGTAAAAAGAAAGGCCCAAACCCACCCACACAGGCCTGTCCAGGCAGCATGGAGAAACGGGGAGCATACAGTCACCCTAGAACTCCCCTACTGCTTGGCCTTGGATGGGTGAACGCAGGGGCTGACCAGCAGGTGGACAGGAAGGTTCAGGGCAGAAAAGAAGGGAGTCCTTGCTGAGAGAAGCACGCCGCCCTGTCTCTGGATCCCCTATTGACGTGATCAGAGTGGGGACATATGGAAGTGGGTGAGGGAATACTAAATAAGATTTTTCTATACATATCAAAGACTTCCTGCTTAAAAAGTGAAAGTAATGATGATTTTCCACAGGGGTTTGTCAACCACCGACTCCATTTCATGGTGGAAAACAGAGCAGAGGGTCTGTAGTGTGTGGTAGCATTGCGTTAGGTGGTAGACACCAGGTTATTAATGTTTGTGATTTTCTTTCTTTGCCAAGGTACGGACATTGCTGCAGGAGAAGAAGTTGCCATCAAGCTTGAATGTGTCAAAACCAAACACCCTCAGCTCCACATTGAGAGCAAAATCTACAAAATGATGCAGGGAGGAGGTATGCCCTTTACCTGTTCAAAAGAAAACCAGGGTTGTATTTGATGAGGGAGAATGTGTCGTGAATCAGAGCCTCTGGTTTATTTGGGAAAGGGAGGAAAATGTCCGTACGCTTGACTCAGTCACGTGGCTTCCTTCAGATACCGAGAGGCCTACCGAGGGCCTCATTCAACATAAAACATGATTTTCTGCTTTTCCTTAGCCTCATGTTAGGTAGTAGTGTCTTTGAACTCAGGGTTCGTGTGAATTTTGATTTTTCAGGCATGCTCCTGATTGTTGGGTATGCCACCTCAGTCACATGCTTTGCTCACAGCTTTGAGGGATCCCCCTCAAAGGCTCCTGAGTGAAATAGAGTTTAAATTCAGTGACCTCTCTGGCCCCTCCCAACTCAATTACTGTCCCAATTCTGCGAAACCTCTCAGACCTAAGGGTGTCTGATGTTTGAGAGCACCCATCCTGATCTCAAAGTCTAACTTTTAGAATTCTCTGGACTTCAAAAGTTTGGCTAATGGAGCAGGTGGGGATTTTGTTGGCGGTCTCAGAGTCCCGAAGACACTGCAGCATTAGGAAGGACATGTCCGTGCTTCACCCCAAGGAGCTCCCCTCGGGATCAAGGCTTTGTGTCTGAAGAATGGCTACACTGCATCCTGTTTGGAGACCCTTCATGGCAGAAGCCTCTGTGGTACTTTCATAGTTTGGGGTGCTCTCTGCACTTTGCCAAATGAAAACTTGTCTTCAGAGTCTGAATTCGCTATTTTCAGGTGAGAAGGGAGGATTGGTGATTTCACTCTCGCATCTTTCCTCCACAAAAATGGTTTAATCTGTGCTGCTACTAGCAACCAACATTTCTTGCTTTACACAGCAACAGGTGTCTTCTTTAGCAACAGATACATATCAGAGCAACACCGACAGTCCTGCAGGACCCATCACAGAGGGCGTCCAGAGCTTCCTGTCCCAGCTTTCTCGGGACCCGGCACCCAGCCGCAGAAACGCCTGTGGGCCCCAGGGAGTGGTCAGCGGAGGGCAGGCTTCTCAGGCATCAGGGACAGTCTACTACCCAGCTGGTCAGGTGGTGATGAGAAGGAGGTGACTCGGGTGTGGCCTTCATGGTTGGGCAGGGCCTGATGGCTGGGGGTTGAAGAAAGCTTCCAGCTTAAAAGCCTTGTTCAGTGTTAACAAGCAGCATCTCTGTGAGAAGTCGTAAGCTGGCGGGCCAGAGGGCAGAAGGAAAGGAAACGGTCAGCTGACACCCCACATAGGAATTGGATAAGTGGCTGAAACTGAACAAAGAAGAGTTTATTCCCTTCGGGATGGGGCTTCTCCATCCCTGGACCACAACTGTCTGCTGTGGGGCTGAAGGCCCAGGCTGCAGCATTGCATCTCACTTTGAATCCTTGCTTTAAGATTTGTGCCCCTTGTCTAGGGTCCTAGAAACCTAGGATTTTCTCCTGTCTGGCCATCCTCCACATGTAGATTGAGTTTTACTTCTGTTTCAAATGTGTGCTTGGTGGATATTATCAAGGTGCTTTAAAGAAAAAGTAAAGATCGCAATTTTTGAAAACAGATGGTGTCCAGAAACACAGAGTCCATGATTCTGGTAGTGTTGTGTGAATTCCTCACCACCACGAAGCAGACAGGGTGCAGGGGTCCACGTGCTGTTGGTCAGCCTTCTGAGTCACATCTCGTGCCAATACACACAGACCACTTGGTCTTGGTGAAGGGACAGCAAGTACTTCTGATTGTGGCTCTTCGATGCTTTTAATCCTGCGTTCTGGCCTTACTTGCAAGTGGTTGAGACTGACGGCACCCTAGGAGGAAGCTAGAAGCTGAGAGGCGGCCGTGCACCCTCAAGCTTGCTGTGACTGAGGGAGGAGTCAGCCTCACTTACGGACACTGGTACGTCTGCTGCCACTACAGTCCTGTGCAGTGGGTGCAGCCTCGCAGACCGATGCAGAGCTTTCCAGGACAGAGATTTGAACCTGAGCGTCATTGTGCCCAGGCCACTGCTGCGCAGCAGCTCTGCTCCTAGGGAAACGTGCCCCAGATGCTTCCACCTGCCGCAGATCTGCTGGCAGTGATGGAACACTCGGAATAGCAGAAATAGATCTTGCTTAGTTTCGTGGGTCAGTGACCTGGGTAGACAGCAGGTTCTTCTCAAAATGCAGTGGACTGCCAGGCCCTACCTAGATGTTAACTGCTCTTTCCCATCCTGATGTCCTCAGAGTGGCTTTGGACCAACCCTTTTTTGGTGGTCCCTCAGTAGAGAACAAGTGTTTAGTCCACAGCTGCTTCAGGTCAAGGCCCCGGGTGGGGGTGGCATGTGGGAGGGGCGAGTGGGCTGTTCGTATAAAATCTGGGCTGGCACTCGCCAGTGCAGTAGGGGCAGGTGGCGTTCCCCAAGTTCACGTCTCTCGTCCTAAGTCCTGGTCAGTTCCTATGCTTTATTTTGGACAGTCACTATCTTTTTGTTAAGAAATGTTTCACAGTAGCCAAGAACGTTTTAATATACGGGGATCAATACTGAATTGAACACCTGTTGCTCCCACCTGCTTGAGAGGCGGCAGGACTCCCCCCTCGGTGCCCACGTGCCAGTCCCAGTGTGCTCTGGGGGAGAAGCCACAGTCCAGAGTTGGCCCCCGACATCTCTGCCTAGTTTATTTCTAAGTTTTTGTTTCTCTGTCACCCTGTAAGAGATTTGTTTTTAAAAAATCCAGTGACCTTGTCTAGAAACGTTTGGCAGTTTACTTATAATTATTTTAGGTTTGAATTGTCAAAAACTGTGAAAATTTCTATTTGCATTAATGTTGGATATTGGAACTTCTCATAAGTAAAAATGAAAAGACTTTGCCTGTGCCTGTCCCCTAGTATTTCACCCCCAAGCATAGATTTTGGTATCTTTGGACTCCATCAGGTGTTAAAGAACTACACATGGTGAAGCCGGGGACCCATTTCCCATCCGAATGGCACATGTGTGGGGGCAGCGTGCTGGCTGCCCCACTGCTCTTGCCCCACAGGCCTTGCTTGCTCCTGCACGGGCCCAGCAGGGGCATGCATTTTCAGATTTCTGATCTTGCTGTCACCAGAGGATCAGTCTGGACAGTGGCAGGAACATGCTTGTGAATAGCTTTATAGCTCATTGCTTCCTGGGGCCTCACCACTTGATTTTCCAGACAGTCTGCTCAGGACAAAGCAGGCTATACAGAAAGCTGAGCATCTTCTGGCCAGAGAACTTGGAGAGCAAGGGCGCTCTGCCTTTACCACGTGTTATCTGCTCTCTGATGCTCGGGTGACAAGACATGCTGGTATCGACCACTAGAGAAAAATATGCCGCCATTGGAATCCCCCATCAGTGTAAACGGACACTGTGAGTCCTTGATGCACCTCTGCCTGATATACGCTACATTTGAATCTATGCAGTACGGTCTTTGTGTACCATACGGCTTTACGTGGGGCCCCGAGGGCCCCTGTGCTGACATGGCTGATCTCTGTAAGCAGTACTTCTCCCCTGCTTCTGACTTCTTGCTCTTGGGGACGGTGCCTCGATGGCACACAGACAGATTTTCTGACATGCAGACTGAGAGTGGAATTGGGTTTTATGGAGCAGGCAAGCACTTGGCCCGCAGGATGACATCGGGTGCCGCACGTGCCTGCAGGGCCATGTCCATCCCACCTGCGTGGCATCTGGGCTTCTGTTGGAGCCACATCCTCTTTGGTCTCGTCATCACCATTCCTCTGTAGTGTGGCATGGGGTGTCTTCGCTAGCACAGAAGACAAGGGGGAGCGTTAAAAAATAAGGGCGTCTCTTTCTTCACTGTATTTTCTGAGGGGAAGGGAAAGGGTCAGTGTGTGTATTACACAGTGGTAACAGATCCAACCATCACATCCGTATTTTCCAGGGACAGGGTCACTGAACCCCGGGGCGCAGTCTCCTGCAATTCAGGAGCAGGGGGAGGGAGCTTGGGAGAGGGCAGACAAGCACATGCTTCCCTCCTCTCCCTCCTTCCCCAGAAATTCAGGATTCCACAGAAAGCTTTAGTTTCCTGCATTAAGCATGGAGTTACATTCACCACATCCTTTTTTTTTTTTGTAAGATTTTTTATGTATTTATTTGACAGAGAGCGAGAGCAGGAACACAAGCAGGGGGAGTGGGAGTGGGAGAGGGAGAAGCAGGCTTCCTGCTGAGCAGGGAGCCCGATATGGGGCTCGATCCCAGGGCCCTGGGATCATGACCTGAGCCGAAGGCAGACACCTAACGACTGAGCTACCCAGGTGCCCCACATTCACCCACATCCTACTAAACAGTCTTGTGGCCTCTTTGATGTGCATGTGCATACCTCCAGGGATGCTCCTGAGTGGTTGAAGGTCCAGTCATCTTCTCTTCTTGGTCTCCCAGCCCTGCCCCCTGCCCCTCACCTGCTTGCACATCTTCCCTAGGATTAGAGACTGAAGCGGGTTTGATCCATCTAAATACAGCAGTGTGGCCAGGATCGTGCCAAAGAACAGTCTTGACTCGGGAGGTTGGGAACAAGGGATGGAGTGTTTCTGGCTTCTTCAGAATTTTGCACAAATCATTTAAGAATTAAGGAGACACCCCAGAAATTAAATACAAGGGTGTGTGAGCTTTTGTGGGGATAAAGGAAGTATAGGAGTCAAGTTTTTAGGACAGAAGATCTGGCCCAAAATAGGAAATAGGGGAAGAGGGCAGGCACCAAGAAAGGATGGCTTAAGATACCCCCCCTCCCAACATGTAAACATACTTCAAGAAGGGGTCCTTTCAGCCTGTGTTTCAGATCCTCTTCCTGGTGCAGAGCCTTTTGTTGGATCCTCTGGCTGTTTTTCTCTCAGTAGGAAAAAAAAAGGTAAACAATAAAACCCCAGAAGAACATGGAGAAAGACCAGCTCATATTTATACAAGCCAGGCTGCCTGTCGATCACCCAGCCGGCAGCTTGTGAGTCCTATAAGTCCAGCAGACACAGCGATCCAAGGGGGCAGCTAGAAACCAGGATGAGGCACGGCTGGTCCAGTGCACTCCATCACACTCACCACCGTGGCGCTAACCACTGCTGTGGCAGGGCAGGGTGCTGGCCCTGGACACCATGGTCTCTGGAAGCCAAGGCAAGAAAACCCAGCATTGTTCAAGGTTAAGGATTTGGGGCTTTGCTTCATATGGCACCCCAGGGCAGCTTAGGCTCTCTTAGAACTTGTCATGACCAACTAGAATTTTTTCAGACACATGCATGAACCCTGTGGTACTGGTAGTACTGGCCTGAGCCAGTGAAGGATCTGGTAGGTGCAGGGAGCCCATGTCCTGAGACTGGAGGTCCACTGGTCTAGACCAGCCTCCCCCAGCCGTGGCTTCCACTCAGCACCTTTTCCTGACCCCTGTGTAGACGAATTCCGAGTCTTCTAGGAGGGAGAGATCAAGTCACAGCACAGCCCGGGTAAAAGTGAGGTGGTTCCTGTGCACTCTAAATAGTTGTTCTGCACGCAGGGGAGACCGCAGAGCGTGTGCCTGCTGCACCATCCTGTGGCTGCTGCCGAGCCCTCCCCACAACATCTCCTTGCCCCGAGAGCCCAGTGCACAAAGAGGGCATCACCCAGAAATACACGGGGACATAAAACCCAGAATGCTTACGTCAAGAGCGAAGTTAGAATGCACAAGATCTATCATTTGTACACGGCCAGGGCAGTTGGAGTCATGAGAACGTGGGGCCCAGGGCGCAGTTCTTTGGGACAGTGAGAAGTGACACGTGCGTCCTGGAGTGATAGCTGTGAGCTTACAGCAGCAGGTGTCCCACTGTGGCCGCAGCCACCCTTCTACCCCTCACCTCCGCCCAGCGCAAGGACACCTGCCTGGCCCCTGAGAGAGTCCTCCTCACGATGCACTGCGCGGTGTCCCCTGGGTGGATGCAACAGTTTTCCATCCCTCCACCTGTTCACGGGTGTTAACAAACAAAGATGCTGTAAATGTTTGTGTAGGTATGGACATTTATTTCCTTTCCTCGTGGGTGAGTGTCTAGGAGTGAGTGGAACGGCTGAGTCAGAAGTAGGTGAATGCTTTTCCTTTGTAGTAAATGGCCAACTGCTTTCCAGGTGGCTGTCCCGTTACATCCCGCCAGCAGTTAACTACTTTGATGATTGGTGTCTTTCAAACGGTTTATCCGTGTCATCTGAATGATTGAATTTACTGGCATAAAGCTATTTATAATATTTCTCCATTAGCCTTTTAATAGATGTAGAATCTGCTCAATGTTGATGTTGCTAATTTGTGCCTTCTCTATTTTTTCCTAATCAGTCTCATTAGAGTTTTATCAGAAGTCTTCTTAACATGTTTTGGTTTCACTAATTTCTCTCTTTGTTTCTTTGTGTCCCATTTCACTGATTACTGCTGTGATCATTTTTATTTCATCTGTTCGGGTTTAATTTCCTATTTTGTGAGATCATTGATCTGTCTTTTCTAATACAAGCATTTCATTGCTATAAATTTCCCCCAGGTGCTCCTAGAGCACGTCTCATAAACCCTGATGTGTTGTGTTTTCATTTTCATTTAGTTCAAAAAGCTTTCTAATTCCCCTTCTGATTTCTCCCTGATCTGTGGGTTATTTTGAAGTGTATTATGTAGCTTTCAAATATTTGGGGGTTTTCCAGAGAGCACTCTGTTATTTCTGACTAAATTCCATTGTCGTCTGAAAGCATACTTTGTACAACTTGAATCATTTTACCTCTAGGCCTGTTTTATGTCCATTGTTGGGTCTGTCTTGCTAACTGGCCATGTGTGCTTGAGAGTATGCTCCGCTGCCTGAGGGGGGTGTTGAGGATGCTGTCAAATTGTGTTTGTCGATCTCTTTGCGGTTTTGCTTCATGTATTTCGGAAGCTGTACTGTTAGCTGCATGAACGTGTGGAGTTGTTACATTCTCCTGACGAGTTGGTGCCTTTATCCTTATGAAAAAACAGGTACATCCCTGGAAACGCTCTCCACAGCCTACTGTGTCCCACGCGGACCCAGCTCTTGTGCACCCTTCTGTCTAAAGTTGGTGTCCTGTGCCATCCTTCTGACAAGCTGTTTGTGTGTAAAGGGCACTTGTTTCTATCTAGTCTGAGAAAGTGTGCCTTATTTGGGGTGTTGAGAGGATTTACACTTGATGTGTTTCCTGACAGGCCAGGTTTTGGTTGCCCATCTTGCTGCTGGTTTTTTTTTTTTTTTTTTTTTTTTAACTCGACAGAGACACAGCGAGAGAGGGAACACAAGTATCCTTGCCACACTCTGCACTTGGTGTAGAGCAGACGGACCCGTGACAGGGCACTTGATTTGCCCGCTGCCTGCCGTTGGGATACCTCCCTGCAGCACGGACATTTGCATATTACAAACCCACGTTGCATTCTTATTTTGCTTAAACAGTCCTGTCTCTTAAGGGGATTGAAGTAATTTTTAAAAATCTTATGTGTAAACTTAGGTTGTTATTTCTAGTGTTTTCTATCCCTTTGTGTGGGCCCATGTCCCATCACGTGGCCTTTTGCCCGAAGGGTGGCCTTTCCCATACGTAGCAGTGCAGATCTGCTGCTGATGGATTCTTCCAGCTTTTTTGTATCTGGAAATCCCTCGTTTGTCTTGGTGTTCGGAGGTTGACGTTCTTGGGACTTGGAAGGTGCTGCCCCACTGTGCTCTTACGTGCCCGTTTCTGACAAGGCTGCGGTGATCCCGGCCTTTGTGCTCTTTATGTAATGTGGACTTTCCCCCTGGCTGCTTCAAGATGCTGTCTTTATCACGCACCGTGAGTGATTTGATCAGCAGGTGTGGACATCTATGTGATGTTCTTTAAGGCTCCTGCGTGTGGGCCGCTGAGCTTCCATCTGTGGGCTTGTTGTCATCTGCTTCCAGCAGCATCTCTGTCCCCTTCCTCCGTCTCTCCTGGGGGCTTCGGTGAAATAGGTTTCGGACGACTTGAAGCTGGCTCTTGCTTTTCCAGCAGTTTCTGTCGCTGTGCCTTCAAGTCACACGTTTTTTCTTCTGCACCATCTAATCTCAGGCACTGTAGTTCCCTAGAAGTTGGGTTTGAGTCTTTTATAAATTTCCCATGGTGTGCCCTTATGTAGCTTTTTTGAGACGGAAGATAATTAGAATTTATAATAACTTTTATTTAGATTTATTTATTTTTATTTCATTTTTTTAGGATTTTATTTATTGGACAGAGAGCACAAGTAGGCAGAGGGGCAGGCAGAGGGAGGAGAAGCAGGCCTCCTGCTGGGCAGGATCATGACCTGAGTCGAAGGCAGATGCTTAACCAACTGAGCCACCCAAGCACCCGTTTGTTTGTTTGTTTATATTTATTTTTAATACTTTAGCACACAAGCAGGGGGAATGGCAGAGGGAGAAGCAGGCTCCCTGACGTGGGACTTGATCCCAGGACCCCGGGATCATGACCCAAGCCAAAGGCAGATGCTTAACCAACTGAGCCACCCAGGCGTCCCATGTTTATTTTTAGAGAGAGAGCACACATGGAGGGGAGAGGAGCAGAGGGAGAGGGAGAGAATCTCAGGCACGCTTCCTACTGAGCACAGAGCCAGACACAGGGCTCAATCCCATGACCCTGAGATCATGACCTGATCCAAAATCAAGAGTCAGACACTTAACCAGCTGAGCTACCCACTCACCCCTGTAATAACTCTTATTACCCTTCTCTGCTCATTCTAACATCTGAACCAGTTTCAGTTGATTGACCGTTCTCAATATGGATGTTTTCTGCTGCTTTGCATACCTGGTAATCTTTGAATGCTGGACATTATGAATTTTACTTGTTTGCATGCTTGGTGTTTTACTCTGTTGCTCAGGTTCTTCCTCCACTTAGGATGAAGTAACGTTACTTTTATCTGTTTAGTTTTTGCATGTTTGCTGACAAGTCGAGGAAGGGGACAGCCTGAGGCACACATAGCTGTGTCCTGTCTTTCAGGTCTGAGTGTTTTTCATTGCCTCCTGTTCAGTGTCTTAGAAACCATTTTCCACGTGTTCTGTGTTTTGTTAAGTCTTCTGGTTTTTGCAGATGTGAGGGTAAATTGGGCTCCCATTACTCCATCTTGGTTGATAAAGAGTAACTTCTAAACTCTTGAAAGATAATAATAGTATCTGTTTCTGACTCAGGGTTTCTATACCAAAAACATTACTCATAGTGGAAAAGATTGAGATGTTCGTCTTTGTTAAAATTTCTCATCAAAAGGCTCCAGAAAAAAAAAATATACCTCACATACAATCAACAATGGTTTAGTACCCAGGATTTTTAAAGAATAGCTATAAATAGGCAAAAGACTTCCTGATAGAAAAATTGGCACAAGACAAGGGTAGACATTTCAAAGAGGAACAGCATGTGGCCAATAAATATATGGACGAAAGATCCAAATTGAGAGTTCAGTGGGACGCTCTTTCACACCCACTCGGTTGATGAAAAGTCAGCAATCTGGTGGTAACCAGCTCGTTGCTGCTGGGCGTGTGGAGTGGGCTGTCCGTCTCGGGAAACAAGGCGACATTGTCTCATAGAGTCAGATAACTTGTGCTCTGTGTTTGTAGGCATGTGCCTGGGGAAACTAGATGTGAACAAGAATTTTGTGGATAAGAATTTTCATCTGTGGACATAAATAAGGGTATACTTATTTATTTTTTTTTTAAGATTTTATTTATTTGACACAGAGAGACATAACGAGAGAGGGAACACAAGCAGGGTGAGCGGGAGAGGGAGAAGCAGGCTTCCCGCAGAGCGGGGAGCCCGATGCGGGGGCTCGATCCCAGGACGCTGGGATCATGACCTGAGCCGAAGGCAGACGCTTAATGACTGAGCCACCCAGGCGCCCCCAATAAGGGTATACTTAGCACCGTTTGTAATAGAAGCAAACCCAGACATTCCAAATGAAAGACTAGATGAATTGTGATCTGTTCTCCAAAGGGAATACTATACAGCATGCATACTTCTTAAAAAAACTATTTAATACAAGTATAATAAAATTCAGGTGTCTGGGTGGCTCAGTCGGTGAAGCATCTGCCTTTGGCTCAGGTCATGATCTCAGGGTCCTGGGCTTGAGCCCCACAACGGGCTCCATGCTCAGCGGGGAGTCTGCTTCTCCCCCCTGCTCATGCTTGCTCTTTCTCTCACAGATAAATCTTCAAAAAAAAAAAAAAAAGGTGCCCACAGTGCTGCAAAACAGTGATTAAATGAGTAAATGGGGGGACACCTGGCTGGCTCAGTCGGTTAAGCATCTGCCTTTGGCTCAGGTCATGATCCCAGGGTCCTGGGACTGAGCCCCGCATAGGGCTCCCTCCTCAACAGGGAGCCTGCTTCTCCCTCTCCCGCTCCCCCTGCTTGTGTGCACACACTTTCTTTTTCTGACAAATAAATAAAATCTTTAAAAAAAAATAAATGGGAAGAGACCAATCTGAGTACTGTGTGTGGATGCTCTGCCCTCAAGAAGTAGAGCATGACAGCATGACCCCCCCTCCCCGACCCCCGGAGTGTGGGCTCCACATAGTGACATCCTCCCAAAGAGAACAGTACACACACTGGGGAGAATGAACACACCCCATACAGGGGTCAAGGTCCCGTCCTCAGTGACGAGTCACATTGAGAGCAGGGACCCCTGACATGACGTGATGAGAAGGCCCTTCAGCTCTGTGGTCTTCCTCCCCAAACCCATCACCCAACATCACACACATCCCGATGGAGGGACTGCCCCAGAACCTCCCCCCAGAACTGCTGAGCCCCCCGAACCAGGGATGTGAGAGGTGGCTCAGCCCAGAGGCAGGCGCCTTGGGGAGACATGACGACCAGGGCAGAGAGAGGGTGTGACAGGAAAACCAAGGAAACCTGAACAGTGTGTGGACTTTGGTTAACAACAGCGAGCCAGACTGGTTCCTGATTTGTGATGCGCACAGCATGTCAACAGGAATCTTTCTTGCATCTGCTCACTCCCCTGCCCAGGACACTGGCCTCCCATTCTCTCCCGGTGTCACTTCCAGCACTTCTTGCCTGGTCCTTGTCACGCAGTGTGTGTCTTGTGTGGTGTGTCCCCGCGTGCGAGCACAGGTGTGTCGGGTTTCTCTTGGCAGTGGGCATCCCCACCATCCGGTGGTGCGGGGCGGAGGGGGACTACAACGTCATGGTGATGGAGCTGTTGGGGCCTAGCCTGGAGGACCTGTTCAACTTCTGCTCAAGGAAATTCAGCCTCAAAACTGTCCTGCTGCTTGCTGACCAGATGGTAAGAATCATGTTTCTGAGGTGACAGGGAAGCCTGGGCCCTTGGCACGTGCTTGGTTGAGTCAGCAGTCTGACGGGACATTCAGGTGCTGTTCTCCTTCTGTGCCTGTTAGTGCCCAGGGAGAGAGTGGGAGTGCATTCACCTCTGCGGCAGGAGCATGACCGTGGGCTGGGTTTGGAGACATGTGTTTTTCCTGGTGGGCCCCTGCAGGAAGGACTGCTGGTGCAGACTCTCATCAGGGAGGGCAGGTCCTCCCAGGCTGCTGTCAGCCGACCTCTCCTCCCCACCCCCGAGAGCCAACAAGGAGAACTGCCCTGGCCGGCTGGGGGTGTGAAACATGGTTCGTTCAGCATCCTTCCCTGGTTGTGGAGTTACTCTGCTCTGGCCAAGGGCCGCAGGACATGCAGGTGAGGGCACAGCCCTCACTCTGCCAGGCAGGTGCCTTTCCCAAGGCTGCTGCTGGGATTTTAATCTCTGGTCATTACTTCCTACCTACAGATTAGTCGCATCGAATACATTCATTCAAAGAACTTCATCCACCGAGATGTGAAGCCAGATAACTTTCTCATGGGGCTGGGGAAGAAGGGCAACCTGGTCTACATCATCGACTTTGGGCTGGCCAAGAAGTACCGGGATGCCAGGACCCACCAGCACATCCCCTACCGTGAGAACAAGAACCTCACCGGGACGGCGCGGTACGCCTCCATCAACACGCATCTTGGAATCGGTGAGCCCATGGGTGGTGGGGTCTCCTGTGCCTCCGGTCACTAGACTGCCTTGGGCATAGCCATCTATGCCATCTATGGCCAGCCTCTTGGGGGACCCTGGGAGCGGTCAGCATGTTTGGCATGGAGGCTGGCTGTCCAGATTCTGGAAAATCCTTTGTGAGGTGTGGTGGGGGCAGGTAAACAGTTGGGCTTTCTGACAGTCCCTGTATCATTGGTGTCACTCATCCAGGGGTGTCACAGTTTCCTAAGGACACATCAGGGGCAACTTCTGGTGAAACAAAGAATCCAAGAATATTTTTTCTGTGGTTTTAAAAGTTCGTTTCCACAGTCAGAGTGCGCCTAGGGTCTTGGCTTTGTGGCAGCAGGTGCACACGTGCTGTCCTTGACCCATTTCCCGTCTTTTCCAGAACAATCTCGAAGAGATGACCTGGAGTCACTGGGCTATGTGCTCATGTACTTCAATCTGGGCTCTCTGCCCTGGCAGGGGCTGAAGGCAGCCACCAAGAGGCAGAAGTATGAGCGGATTAGCGAGAAGAAGATGTCCACCCCCATCGAAGTGCTGTGTAAAAGCTACCCCTGTGCGTGTCCTCGAGGGCAGGTGTTGGCCGGCCCGCGGTCTCAGGGCGGCGGTGGGGGGGGCACTGGGAGACTGGCTCCCAGATGATGAAGAGTGTCCTTGAGCTGGTGGCAGCCTTCTGTCCCTGCTGCTCCTTTACCTTCCAGGGACCATGACCCAGGGAGTTGTCCTTGTTCCTGTGGATAAGTGCCACAGGTGAAACCAAGCTGTGCTGTGTGGCGCCGGCTTTTCTAAAACGTTGGTTCCTCCCAATGTGACCAGTGTTTCAGACGCCATGTCTCACGTCCTAAGTGTGTGGCAGCGGATGGTGGCAATCATGTCGACGGATACCCGGTCAGGTATTGCCAGTTAGCGCTGAGTCTCTTGTCTTACAGCTGAGTTTGCCACGTACCTGAATTTCTGCCGCTCCTTGCGTTTTGACGACAAGCCTGACTACTCCTACCTGAGGCAGCTCTTCAGGAATCTCTTCCACCGCCAGGGCTTCTCCTATGACTACGTGTTCGACTGGAACATGCTCAAATTCGTAAGTGTGCCGCCAGCATGTTTACTTCTCAGCATAGAAGTCAGCCAAAGGCCTCTGCCAGACGAAGTGCAGGTTTTAGAAGGCATACTCACCGCTTTGGGGGAGCCACGTGTACCTGCGAGGGCTGTGGCCTAGGTGGGGTCCACCCCAGGGCGGGAGATTTCTGAGAAGCAAGATCCCTATCAAGGGAGAGCAGAGGCGGCACCATGTCAGTGCTGGGTCTCCTGGAGCCAGCGGAGTGGGTCTCCCAAATGCAGGTCTGCCTGGAACCAGGGCTCTTACTTGAGTGATAAGTCTTGAATTGGAAGGTACTTCTATGATTGCTGTCGACATGGCTAGGAGCGCCGTGGTTTTGACTGCCCGTGGTGTTGAGGTGTGGCTCCAGAGTGTGTGTTACGCAGGAGGGTATGGCCAAGGCCAAGGGCTCTGGCCACGTGGGGTAACCTCCTGCCCCTCCTCCCTCTGACCCAGCCATGCGGGTGAGCAAGCAAGGTGGGTACCTGGAGAGGTGCTAGGCTGTGGTTGACTTTGGTGCCAGGCTTATTAAATGGGCGCATGGGTATGTGCAGAACTTGAGCTTTGATGTTTTCTTCTCTAAATCTGGCCGCCCATCCCTGAGTCTCTTATAGGAGTCTAATTAATTAATTTTCAGACACTATTGCCAGAGACTTTCAGGGTTTTTTGGAACTTCTACTTTGTTTTTCATTATATATTTGTTCTATTCAGTTAGCTTAAAACAAATTGGAACCTTTCCAGGGTGACAAGATCTGACGGAGGAGCAGGACCTCCTCTTCAGAGGGCGTAAGACAGAAAGGCTTGTCCTGTGGCCTTGCCGGGGTGTCTGTGCAGGTCTGTGCCCTGCCGGGGAGAGCCAGGTGCCCCACAGTGGGCTGGCTCAGGACGTGCAACCACTGATCGCCCAGAGTCTGGGCAACCTTCTGGCGTCGTTGCCCCCGCAGCGGGGCTGGCCCCCCTTCTCTGGGCAGGGCGGGACAGTGAATCCTCTCAGCTTTGCAGCATGCATGTGGTGGGACCAGCACTCGGCTCTGCGCTGCTGCTGGGAAGCCGCCACGGGCGGAGTGGGGTGCAAGTGGGTGCGGCTGCAGCAGTCACCCTTCATTTGCAGAAACTGATGGTGGCTGGATTTGGGTTGTGGGCTACAGTTTGCCGACTGTTGCGTTACAGCACTGTTTGTTAGGACATGGTGGGTATCGTGCCCCCACTCGTCTGGGTCGTCATTTGCTCAAAGTAGAACTAGCTTTGGTGTCCACCACGTGGGACCTTCCACGGCAGACCTGGCTGTCTGCGTTCTTGTCACGTGGGCCCTGGCCCAATATCCGCCTAGGCTGTCTGGGCTCTGGTTGGGCCCCCCGCTGACCAGATGACACCGCTTCTGTGTGCCTCTCGGATCCCCCGGATGCTAACACCTTGGGCCTGCCGCTAACCTGATCTCATATGATTTCCTATTTCTGTGTGGATGCTCGGGGAAGAGGCCACCCAGTTGCCATCAGTATTTGAGGTTCAGGAGTGTTGGGAAGATCTTGTCCACTCACTCACAAGGGTCACGGGGCAGGCTGCTGTCCTAGAGGGAGAGATGCCACCTCCCAGCCTGCTACATTGCTTGGATGGCTTCTCTGGCAGCAGGGGACGGCCGGGGCCCTTGGGTTGTTTTCCACCAAACCCCATTCAGTCTGGTCTTACCCTGTTTCCTTTGTAGGGAGCCAGCCGGGCCGCTGATGACTCTGAGCGGGAGCGCCGGGACCGAGAGGAGCGGCTGAGGCACTCCCGAAACCCAGCCGCCCGTGGCCTCCCCTCCACGGCCTCTGGCCGCCTGCGGGGCACCCAGGAAGTGGCTCCTCCCACCCCCCTCACCCCTACCTCACACACTGGTGAGTGGGCTAGCACCACGTCTCCCCAGCAGGCACTGCGGGTTTCTGGTTTGTGTGTTGGCTGCTCTGGCTGTTGGAGCTGCAGGGCCCCACGCGGGCTTCAGGCGGGCATGCCTCGTGGGAGAGGCTGTGTGCTTCCGGTCCTAGTAAACTCTAGTTTCTGAGGATTGGCTGGGCAGGGGACATCTGTTTCTCTTTCTCTGTTGTTCTTTTTTCTCGTGACACGGATTGCTCCCTAGGAGCCTCTCAGTACCCACCCTTCCATCCCTCCACGAGCGGCATCGTAAGCACGGGGGCCTCGGGCTGCCCTCCTGCTGGATTCCTGGTGCTTCGCTCCTGGGAAAGTCCGCCTGGAGCTAGCACACTGGCGTTCCTGTGTGCTCCGTGGGCCCTGCCCACCACTGCTGACCTCGAAATCAGGGTGCGAGCCAGCCGGGGGTCAGCCGCCTGTTGCTGCCCTGGAAATCTGATGGTGTGTAGCGGCACCCGCTCCTCTGGTACTGGGTGCCAAGACAGCTGAGGAGAGGCCCCCTCACGCTGGGTGCGGGGTCTGTCCCGAGCCCTCACCGTCACCCCTGTCTCCCCCTCCAGCTAACACCTCTCCTCGGCCCGTGTCCGGTGTGGAAAGAGAGCGGAAAGTGAGTATGCGGCTGCACCGCGGCGCCCCTGTCAACATCTCGTCCTCCGATCTCACAGGCCGGCAAGACACCTCCCGCATGTCCACCTCACAGGTGCGTGCACTGCGCGGGTACGCGCTCTGGGCTCGCCGAGGTCCGGCCACTGCAGGCCGCGGGCCCCTCCATGTTCGGGCTGCTCGTAGGGCGCCAAGCAGAGTGGGGTTTGGGTGATGAAGGGCTTCCTTCCTTCCCTCCTTTCTTTCTCCCCCATTTCTGAGTTTTAACTGGAGAGGGACATTCAGCCCCTTGGTTGGGAGCCTGAGGCGGGCTGTGCGGACAAAGGGCTTGGCTCCCCAGCCGCACTGGTGCAGGTGACAGGGCTTTTTCTCTTCTGCTGCCGTCCTCGCGGCCCCGGCATCCTCTCCGAGCCAGCCCTGGAGGCTGGGCCGTCTTCCTCCGTCTTCCTGTGCAGACTGGAAATACCACGCTGCTCACACCGTGTTTGTCGTGGGCCCACAGCCTGTGGGGCGGTGGCTGGAGGCCCCGTAAGGTGGCGTGGACAAGCCCGTTGGAGCCTGGCGCCCCACGACGCACTGCGAGTGAGGGTTCCCGTCTTCTGCAGTCCCTGCCCACTTCTCTTCTTTCGGACGAGGCAGCTGTCCTCAGGGAAATGGCTGGGTCGTGCGGGTCTCCTCCACTCAATCCCTTCTCTTCCCTCTCTGGCTTTGGTGCCATGGTTCTGCATTCGCTCATGTGTTCTTCACAGATGAGCTCTTTACACCATGGACTTTCTTCCTCGTGTAGCTTTCAGACCCCTCTTCAAATGGCGGTGGGTCAGAGGGCATTTCTCCTGCTTCCGCAAGGGTCCTCTGGGGTGTCTGTGCCCCACAGTATCTGTTGGGTGGGCAGGCACTGGTTTTAGGAGCGCACTGGAAGCCTGCGTCCTGGGCTGTGCACTCAGGCAGCACCGCTCTGGCTCACTGTGGCACCTCTCGTGGATGAGTTAGCGCTGGGCCCTGCTGTTGACACGTGCTTGGTGCTGGGCGTAGCTTGTTGGTGATTGGTGGGTCGAGCATGTTGGTTAGGAAAGCACAGGGTCTATGTGAACCACCCAGAACCTCAATTCTGTGGCATCAGCTTGGTCTTCCAGCAGAGGAGAAAGTGTGCCCAGACAGAGAGGGTGCTCCTGACTTTTTATTTTAATCAAGTGAATGAATGGTTTCGTTTCGCTATAAATATAAACATTTCTGGTTTACTGCTAGTTCTGCCAGAAATGGCTTGGTTTTGTATGATAACTTTCTCCCAAAGAGACTAAGGGTGCAGGTAGTTTGAATTGTGGGGCTCAAGGAGTCTGGCCAGGGTCATGAGATTGGGCCCCTTATGGCTCCCAGCCCCACACCCCTTCTCCTACCCCGCAGGACACAGAAAGGGCTACGGGCTTCTTCCCACAGGCTCTGGAATCCATGAATCAGCCGCTGGGAACAGGTCCTGGGCAGTGTCTGCCCACGCTTGACTGAGAACCCAGGCATACAGCCTGCTCTGGGGCCCTGAACACCTCAGTCAAGGACAGCTGGGGTCTGTGGATGTCACAGGCTCTGTCTGGACTCAGGATCCAAATGTTGGGCCTCCACCAGCAGAGGTGAAGGGAAGGGGCAAACTTAATTCTCTTTGAGGGAAAAGAAAGGATCTGGAGCGTTTGGGACCACTGAGGGAAATGAAAGGGTCAGAGAGCCTGCGACGGAGCGCTGGGTCTGAGCCCAGCTTCTCCTCCATGGCGCGGCCAGCCTCAGCCTACACGCCTCAGGAGCCTTCCTGTGAACTCTTCCTTAGCTGAGGCGAGCTTGCAACTGAGAGTCTTGTGTCTTTGTTCTTCTTTTTGCTTTCCATGTGAAGAAGCAGTGTGGGACTAGACAGGAGGGAGGAGCCTCCAGAGATTTAATTTGGGGGTGTTTCCCCTCTGAAAGAAGCACCGGTCACTCTAGGGGGTTCCCTAGGACCTTTACGTTGAGGACACAGCCCCTGGGGGTGTGTCCCCAGTGCACTCCCGTCCCAGAGATGACTTCCTCCTTTGGGTTTTCCTGGCCACCCAGCAGTGCTCTTTCTTAAGAGACTGCAGGGCAGCAAGAGACTCTCTCCAAGACTCTCAGCAAGGGGCTCTGCCCCGGTAGTTTGGACGTTCCAGAAAGAGGGGAGTTGCTCCAGCTTCTGCTATTCTATAGCTTCCGTTGGGACTTTCTCCCAAAGAAAGTGGGGTGAAGGTAGAGCCAGTGAGGCCTCTGTTAAGCGAGGCTGGCCCCGCCCTGCTGGGGCTGTGGCCACATTCTGCCAGCTTTCTCTGTCGATACCCTTTCTCTCTCAGTTCTCTGTGCACTTTGAGGAGGAGATGTTGTGTCTTGTGCAGAGGTATCAAGTCCAAGGAAGTCACTCATCTTCAGCAAGAAGGTGCTCCGGCCACCGGCCAGCCTGTGGGAGGGCCCTGCTGACGACCCTCTCCAGCTGGGTGTGGGGGAGGGCCGTGGACACCTGTGCCCTTGGTCCTGACCCCTCGGCCATGGTGCACTCGGACTTCTCAGGAGGGTGTCTGCTCCTCGCCCTGACTTCCTTCTCAAGGGCAGCTTTATGCTAGACCACAGTCCCCACACTACCGACCCAGAGTGTGAGTCTGGCTTCTCAGCCAGAGCAGCACGGAGCCCAAAAAGCATCTGGTCAGTGAACCTACTGTGGGTTTTTCTCTTTGAGAAGAAAAGGCCTCCTGGGTCCAGCGCTCCTAGTAGAATGTGACTCAGTCTCTGAGCCAGTCACTCCTGTTGGTTGGTTGGTTGGTTGGTTTGCGTTCATGCTCCCAAAACAAGGCCTGCAGCCCCTTGGTCTTCTTGTGGTCTGTCCTCCCCTGGCCCGAGCGCAGGCCGCACTGGGCAGCGAGCAGGGCCTCGGGGAGGGGCCGGTGGAGGGCTGCCATCTGGATGTCAGGTTCGCTCACTGCCTGGCCCCTTGTCAGCCTAGAGGAGGAGCAGCAGCTGCTCTCGTTTGGGGGCCACTCGCTAGGTTCCCGGGGTCCCCTGTGAGGCAGCATGGCCAGTGCCGGACCTGGCTGAAGCGAGATGAGGAAGGCCTCAGTGGTGGTTGCCAGCAGAGCCCTTACCAACAGCTCTCTTTTCCCCCACCTCAGAATAGCATTCCTTTCGAACACCACGGCAAGTAGCTGCACGTCTCCCCGTTGGAAGGCAGCACCGGTGAGTGTGCTCATGTCGGGTCTTGTCAGACAGCAGGCGCCGGGCGGGGCGGGCGCTGACCACCCCCGAGTCCACCACCGGGCTGCGCAGGTGGGACCGGGCTTGCATGCCAGGTGCTGCCGGGAGAGTGTGGCCCCTCCGCCCAGTGCTTCTCCTCGCGTGGATTCCAGAGCAGCCCTGCTCGGTCACCCAGTCGGGGGCGAGCGGACCAGAGAGTCTACAGACGGGGCGGCCCCAGGACCCTGCCCGCTGTTGGCTGGCCGTTGGCCCCGGGGCACTCTTGAGGGTCCGGGGCCCATGGTGGGAGCAGAAGCCCAGGGCTCTGCACTTGCGCTCGGCTCCAGTGGTCCCGGGAGACTCGAGCCGCCTGGCCCGGGCTCTGCTGCGGGGCGTGTGTCGCATGGCGCTCAGCTGAGCGGGCCGTGCTTGCTGGGGGCTCTTGCACACTCTTGCTGCGGGAGCCTCCTGGTGGTCTCTGCCGCCCTGGCTTCGTCATTCTCTTCTTTCGCATTTATTTCTGTCCTCGTTTGTTTTTCTTTTTGAGCTCGGTCTCTGCTCAGCGTCCCATCCGTGCTGCCGTCTGTATTAACCCGTCAGCCAGAGCGCCCGCTCCCCTGCCGTTGGCGCATGGCTGGGCGTCCGAGCCGGGTCCCCTCTCGTCGGGGACGCTGTGGCCCCTCCCGCTCAGGGCTTGCCGCTGCTGGGCTCCACACCGCTGGGAGACGGCCGCAGGCCCAGCGTGACTGCGTTCTCAGGGGCACCTTGACGGGAGCTGCTTTCCACGCCTCCCCCCACAGGGAGCCCCGGGGCCCACACAGCGCCCGGTCCTGGCTCTCAAAACCCCAGGTTACTTTCCAGGAAGGAGTGCTGGGAGCGAGTACTTCTTCCAGCTTGGACTCTGTCTGGTCCGATCATTCTTGGGCTTCTAGCTCCGTGGCCACCCGGCCTCCTTGCTTGCATGCCTCTTCCTCCTTCCCCCTCTTTCTGTCACTTGTTCTGCTGAGCACGTGGCCTGGCCGCTGAGGGGCTGTCCAGAGTGGCCGGGGTGCGGGCGTCCAGAGTAGGGCTGGGCAGCATCTATGTCCCCTCGCCGTCACTGGTGTTCTGTGCCCGAGCCTGACCGACCGGCCCCATGCCTCTGGCCTCATGCTGACCTTCTCCTGTGCTTTGGCTCCGACAGATTCCCAGTCGGGTGGCTTCCAGTGGTCTTCAGTCTGTGGTGCACCGATGAGAACTCTCCTTTTTGCTGTGAAGGGCAGACAATGCATGGCTGATCTACTCTGTTACAATGGCTTTACTAGTGACGCGCCCCCCGGTCTAGAACCGAAATGTTAACACCGGGAGCTCTCCAGGCCGCCCACCCAGCGACGCCAGTGGGGGAAACAAAAACTAAACCAGACAGACTCCAAAGCGCTGCCGTCACAGGGGCTGCACCGCGGGCCCCCCACGTGGACTCGGTTGTCGCGGGCTGGGAAGAAAAGCAGAGTGTGAGAGACAGTTGCAGAGAGAACCAAACTCCCGCTCCAGAGCCTTTCGGTTCCCCTCCAGTGGCGGTGCGCCCTGCTCCCTGACAAGCCTACTGTAACCACCGATCTTCTACTTGGTTAAGACAGTTTTGTATCATTTTGCTAAAAATTACTGGCTTAAATCTGTGTAAAGAAATCTGTCTTTTTATTGTTTCTTTCTTGTCTGTTTTTGCGGTCTTAAAACCGATGTTGACTTTAACGAGCCCTGGAACAAAGGCTGGTGTGGAGTTTCTGTGTAGGGCAGAGCGAGTCGGGGAGCAGCGCGCACGGGCGCCCGTCCTCTGCTTTGTGGTCCCTTTGTTGTGTGGTCCGCTGTGGAGAGGGGTTTTCTCACCGGAAGTGCTGTCCCGTGTAGATGTGTATGTAAGTGATGTGTGTGTGCCGTGTGTCCTGTGGCCTCATTACGCTGGTTTTGGCTGTCACTGTCCCTTCCCACCTACGCCAGATTGCCTGCGCAGCGCGGTCCTCAGAGCAGTTAGCGGGCGCCGCGCACCAGAGTCTCCTGGAACGGCGAGAAGGAAGCCGAGCACGGAAGACCTCAGAAGCCAAGGCTTTTTGCATGGGCGTTGCTGGTCCCTCTGGAGAGGATTTTGAACCAAGAGACATCAGGCCCCTCCTTGGGGTCACATGTGGTTATTTTGGTGGTGGTGTTGCCTCAGTGTCTTTGGATTTGGGAAATTTTCTAAACCGACTGTAAACGTGAACAGTGTAGATTGCCCCTCGCTGTGTGTGTGAGTCTGTGTGCTCAGAACCGAGGACGCGGCCGTCTGCGCTGTGCCAGGCTTAACCACAGTGGCCTCGGGCCCAAGGGGATCCACCCTGAAGTGCCAAGAAGCTGGTGACTCAACTGGTCGTCCAGGAGGGTACGGCGTCACACGCTTCCTTCCACGACCTTCATTGGGACGTAGCGAACCCCACAGGGGTCAAGAAGTGGGTCGGGGCTGAGTCTTGTAAGAAAGACCCTCGGGGCCACTGGGCCACGGGTGGTTTTCCAGGATGCTCCCTCGTTTTGTAGCAGGCAGCGGCACCAGGCGGTGGTGGCAACCAGCAGCTGGGAGTGCCCCCCCCCCCGGCCCCCCTGTTGTGGGAAACAAGGTGCAATAATTGGTATCCGTGGGTACGTCCACCTCTCTTCCTGTCACCCTGCTGCAGAGTGCTCTGTTTGGAGACCGGGGCGCTCGCAGCAAGTGAGGGGCCTAGAGGCGTCCATGTCAGTGTTTCTCCCCTTCCTGCCTCCTTGGGCCCCTAGCACGGGAGCGCCGGTCCCAGGACACCCTGACTGGTGTGTGCTGACGGCACAGAGCGTGGCTGTTGGCTGCTTTGGGAGTCCTGAGCGGGCTACTCTGTGTTTTGGGGTGCAGGGACTTGGCCAAGTGGGGCTGTGTTTCTGGGAGCACAGTGCAAGCCTGGGCGGGTCAGGGCAAGTTGGGGGCTTTGTTGTGACCCAGGACCCTCTGAAGTGGGCCCGCCCCTGCCGGCGGGGTGTTAGCAGCCGCAGCCACCGACGGAGTGCCAGAGACCGCTGGGGCAGCCTTCCCTCGCTCCGCATCTGGGCTTCGACCTGCAATTGCTGGATGCTTGTTTGAGAGGTGGGCCCAGACCCTGGGCCCTCAGCTGTGCGGCCGCCCGTGTGTCCGTCCGTGCGTGCACACTTGCTGCCCTCCCACTGCAGGAAATGTAGTTGCCACGTCTGTATCAACCTGTGTATTGGTGGCCAGTCTCTGACTCGGCACGTTTGTGTGATCACTGCATTTATGTGCTTAACCACCGTGTAAATAATAAACCCGTGATGACTTTTACCTTTCCTCCCTGCCTGCCCTCCGCTGCTCTTTATTTCGTAGTCAGAGAGGTGTCAGTGCGTGTAGGTTAGCCAGGTGGAAACTGATCTGAGAAGGGGTGTTCGTGTCCCCCCGTGGCCCAGCGGTGCTCTGTGTACAAGCTGGTCGGCAGCAGGCCACAGGGACAGGCTGCCCCTTCCCGGGGTCCCAGAGCTGACGCCCGTGTAGGCCATCCACAAGCGCCAGTCCCTTCTCCTCTGGCTTAAGCACCTTCGCGGGGCAGGCACCTGAGCTCTGTGGGCCTCGGCGCAGCCCGGAAGGAAGTACTACACCTGCCTTAAGTATTCTGGGGAGTGAGCAGCGCTCCGGCTGCCACGGAGGGGCGTGCGTGGTTCCTGTGAGGCGGCTGTCAGCCCCAGGCCCCGTGAGGGGCCAGCAGACGTGCCCTGAGCCTGGGGCGCCGTTGTCGCCTGCCCGCCCTCAGCCCCACCCTAGCTCTGTGGCTCCCAGGTGGGCCCGTCCCTTTGTTGTACTTGTGGCCTTGGCTTCCCCCTCCTACTTGAGCTGTGGAAGCCCCCAGGAGCCTCAGACCCCCCTGAACAAGACTGCGTGGGGCTGGCCCTTGGTGCCTGGGGGTGTCCTGGAGGGTGTGGGCCCCGAGTCCCTGCCCTTGGGCTCAGGCCCTCCCCTTCCTGCCACTGGCTGAGCCCAGTGGGCTCTGAGGCTCTGGAACAGGGCTGGGCTCTTCCTTGGCCTTCAGCCCTTCTCACTTCGCTGCCCACATTGGGAAGGCAGCATTCAGTCTCCTTGCTGCTCACCCCAGCTGCCAACCCTTGCACCCAGCCAGAGTGCCAGTGACACGAGCCCCACGCTGCCCTCCCCTGTTCTGCCGGGAGGGGGCTGCAGGCAGGACGGGGACCACCACACTGCCTTCTGCCCAGAGCCCACCTGTCCCGCTCTTGGTCCCTCGGTGCTAGGAGACACGCACTGGCTGCCCCCATCTTCCTGACGCAGGGTCCAGCCCCGGGGCCGGATGGTGGGCTCCGCGTTCAGGAGTATGTGCCTTCCAGTCCGCCTCCAGCTCCCACTCCCTCCAAGGCCTCGCCCCCACCCAGAGGGCTGTTTGGATCCCCTTCTGGAAGCCCCTACACCCTGCTTTTTGTCCTGCTCCTAGCTCCGTCTGGCAGGCCCTCTGGAAGCAGTGCCCTCCGTGCTGCTGCACCAGTACAGGTGTGTTCAAGGTCCCAGGAGAGTGTCCGCCAGGGTCTGTGTCCTCAAGGTCATGACTTGGATGCTGGGAAGGGCTGGACAGTCCTTCACGACCCCCACTAGTGGGCCGCTGCAGATCCTGGGCAGCGGCCTTCCGAAGCATCACTGGCAGATCCCCCGGGCACCCCCAATTTGGGGCCCACATGTGTGTAGCAGGTGCCCCCAGGTCTGACCGGGCTAGGGCCAACAGCCCGGGGTGGTTTGGGGTGATGTGTGCATGCCCGCCAGAGGGGGCTCGGTACAGGCATCCGCATCACTCGGCGGGAGGGTGGGCTTCAAAGGTGCAGGCCGTGAGCCTCCTTTGGCACGGACGTCTGGAGGGTGAGGAACTGCCCCATCCATGGCCCCCCGAGCACTGACTGCTCTCCTGGACTCCTGTGAGGGAGGAGGCCTCAGCCCTTAGTAGCCACAGCTTCCTGAGGACAGCAAGTTTCATTTCTCCTCTGTTAGGCCCAGCCGGAAACATCTGGAACCAAAACCTAGGCAGATAAGACCTGCCTGCTCACCCTTGGGCCTCGAACCCCAGCCTCCAGTCTGGGGCGGAGGTGTTGTTGATAACGTGGTGGGCAGGGTCCCTGGGTCTACCTAGCATGTCCACCGAGGTGCCAGCTAAGGGACAGACGGACCTGTGTTCCTAAGGCCAAGAGAGGGTGGCAGAACTCTTGCTCAACCTGGAGCACGTGCGGGTGTGCATACTTGGACCCCAGCCCCCGGGCCAGCTGCACATCCTGCCTCAGTTGGTAGTTGGAGCAACTCTGACATGCTGACCATCTCAGAATGGCTTGATACTAAGTGTCCCCAGAGCAGGACTGGCCCTCATGCTGGGGCCAGACCTTTGGGCACAGGCTTGGAGACCGGCGAGGACGCACACTTCTGTTGCTCCTGGCCGGCAGCAGGGAAGCTAGGGGGGCGAGGGTCGGGGACAGTGCAGTGTGAGGGCCAGAAGCCAGGTGAAGCTTATACAGCAGAGAAGGACCCTGCAAGGGCTATGCCTCGACCCCTGCAGCTGCTAGCACCACCACAGCCCAGGCCTGCAGCAGAGGGTTCAGCCAGACCAGGAAGGGTGTCGGGGGTGCCCAGGGCCCCGGGGCTAGGGGCCAGCACTGCAGGAGGGTGCCTGGTTCGTCTGCACGGCTTGAGGGGCAGGTGGAGGCGGGAGAGCCCCCTCGGGGGTGACATCTCTGGGAGGGACAAGATGTGAGCTTTCACTTGCTTTTCATTGCAGAGGAGCAGGGACGTGGCATCTCTCCGGCTGCACACGGCCCGCCAGGGTGCCCGCTGCCGTCCCCAGCGCCCGCGACGCACCACCTACTGAGGCGGCCCCAGCGGCCTCTGACCAGGCTCCCAGCCACACAGGCCACCACTGGCCACGAGGGCAGGTGGGTGTGAGGTACCCGGGGCGAGGCCGAGCAGGGCTGGACAAGGACGGGAGCAGATGCCCACCCTGGGCACTGACCGCGTAGGGCCACGATCCGCCAACTGAGGGGTGAATAAATGGAAGACAGGAAGATCATTTTCTTTAAACACACACACAGTGAACTAGAATCACACGTATGTCTCAGCTTAAGTGCACATGCCTTGTAGGGGGCTCCCGAGCATGGCCACACCCCTGCAGCACGGCCCCCTTCCCTGCCAGCCACCGGGGCCCTGTGTGGACACAGCCGTCTGGGCTCCAGCAGGGCAGGGTTCAGAACCAGCAGCTTAGAAAGCTGACCCGGCTGACAAGGGCCAGAGCCACTCTGTAAAAACCACCAGATTGTTGAGAAAAGGAATTTGGAGTGAACAGACCCCTACCCCACGTAGAAAAACACCCCAGCTCCTTGAAGACATTCCTTCCAAGATGGCTCCTCCCACACGCAGGTTTATTTCAGACCTTCAGAGGCAAAGGGAGGGAGTTTGGTTCCCCAGGCACCCTGCAAGGGGCGGGCTGGGGTGCCGTGGTGGAGACGGCAGGATGGGGCGCAGCCAGCCGCTTGGGGAGGCCCCCTCCCGAGACGGTGCCGCTCGGCCGGCTCTCCCCAGCCTTGCCCTCTGATGCCCACTGTGTTGTCTCTGAAGCATGGGTTTCTAGGTCCCTGAGCTCAGCGGTGGGCACCAGGCTGCTCCAGGGTCAGCAGGCTGGTTCCCTGGTGCAGACGGCTCATAACCTCGCGGCTCGGCTTCACCACAGTTTGGAATGACACGGTTCCCAGCCCACCACCTCCCTGGAGAAACACGGACGGCCAAGCTAGTCCTGTTTGTGAAATAAACATGAGCGTTGAAGTCTCTGTCCGGTTCCGTCACCCCCACTGGCCTCCTGGGCTCAGACGCTTGTTTCTGGGGTGTGAACGACCTCCCCGTTTTTCTCGGGCTCTGCTTTCAGGAAGTGCTCCACCTCCCGAGAGTCCACCCTCACGTCTGCGGGGGGCTTGTGGCGCTCCTCTTCCTCCACGGCCGCCTCGGGCCTCCTCCTAATGCAGAAGTTGCCCAGCACCAGCACGAGGGAGGAGGCCAGCACCTCGGCCCCTGCCAGGACAAACACGTACTGGTAGACGTGCGTCGCATCCAGGAGCTTGCCTGCAAAGGGGTGACAGCGTCAGCCCGGGCTGAAGGTCACCCGCACGGTCACCAGCTACTTGTGCGCCACTGTGCTGTTGGGGACAGCCTGGGGGCACCCTGTCCCAGCCTCCCCCGTGCCCCCAGGCAGCACAGACCGGGAGGCTTGGAGGCGGCTTTGGAGCCGAGCAGGTGCAGGAAGCAGTCTGAGGGTGAGCGCCTCATCTGAGGCGCCCGGAGGTAACCTGACCACACCGTCACTGGAGGCCTCTTCACCCATGGCCCTCACAGGAACGCTTAGGCCCCAGAAGGGCCCCAGGACCATGAGGCAAACCCCGGGCGCTCACCGGGTCCCATGGGGGGGGCCTACAGAGACAGCTGGAGAGACCCAGGCTGGGCTGCCCACCTAGCCCACGCCCCAGGATTTTCTCAGCCTTCGCAGAGAAGAGCAAAAGCCCAGCATAACGGAAGCTGACCCCCACCGCGGCGGTGAGCTGGCCCGTGTGCGGGGATGGTAGCGCCCTCAGGATTCTCGCACATGCCAGCCGTTGACCCAGGGAGTGGGTGTGGCCGGTGCTCACTCCTGACACCTTGCTGGCCACCTGGGCAGGGGTCCCTGCGGCTAAGAGCCCTCCTGCGGTGGGTCCCCTCCCCCAGGAAGGCTTTCTCCCGGCTGCGTCCCACCACTCACCTCCTGATGGGGGCCCAATGAGCACAGCGATGGCCTCCAGCAGTAGCACAAGGCCAATGGCACTGGAGAACTTCTGGGTGCCCACGATAGCCATGAGCACCTCGAACTGCAAGGCCCCCACCATGCCGTAAGAGATGCCGAAGAAGATGCAGAAGACCACCAGGCCTCCGTAGTCGCTGGCTGTGGACCCCGTGAGGTCAGTGAAGCCATTGAAGAACATGGAGAAGCTGAAGAGGTAGACGGAGTAGGGCCGCACCTTCTTAAGGCCTGTGATGAAGCCGGCGGTGGGCCGCGCAAAGATGTCGACGAAGCCCAGCACAGTGAGCAGGAAGGCAGCCTGGGTGTCGGGCACACCCAGGTCCTTGGCGTAGCTCACCACAAACACGGGGGGCACAAAGAGCCCCAGCACCATGATGGAGGCGGCCATGGCGTAGATGACAAAGCCACGGTCCCTGAAGACACTCAGGTCCAGCAGCCGCCGGGATGGCCGCTGGGGCGCAGGCCCCGAACCCGGCCTGGGCGCCTCCAGGGGCCTCATGAGCGCGGCGCACACGCAGCAGTTGAGCAGGAGGCCCCCCAGGATGAGGAAGCCGCCCCGCCAGCCGTAGTGGTCCTGCAGCACCTGCCCCAGTGGGGACAGGGCGCACAGGAAGACAGGGCTGCCCGCGGCTGCCAGCCCGTTGGCCATGGGGCGCCTCTTGTTAAAGTAGCGGTTGAGCATGATGAGTGACGGCTGGAAGTTGAGCGCCAAACCCAAGCCTGCGGGAGGGGCAGGCGGTGAGGCATCCTGCCAGCCCACCCGGCCCCTTGTCCCCGTTTTCCACCCTAAAGTTCTAGGTGAGGGTCTGCAGGTGTCCATGTGAGGGGACCCAGTGTGTGTCCGAAGCCCCTGTCACCAGCTGACGTGCGAGGAGAGACCAGTGGGGAATGGGGGACAGACTGATGCCAGGGCTGGAGGCAATGCACAGCTGCCCGCTCCTGAGAGGCCCTGCTCTGGGTACAGTGCCCCCAGGATCCAGCCACCTGAGCCATTGCACCCGGCCACGGAGGGGCCAGCGTGCCACGGCCTGCCCTGCCCCCGGCCGGGCCCCACTCACCGGTAATGACCCCAGTGGTGAGGTAGAGCTGGATGATGCTTCTGCAGAAGGACGCAGCCACCATGCCCAGGGACGCCAGGAGGCCACCCGTGAGCATGACGGGCCGGCAGCCAAAGCGGTTCACGCACACGCTGCAGAGTGGGCCTGTGGGGGGCGGGGGCACAGGGTTGGGCCCAGTCTCTCCACGCCCACGGAGACCCTCCCCTGACGCCCCCCGCCCCGCTCAGCAGATACACCAGGAGCCCAGGGGGTGAGAGTCACACTCAAACGCCTTCCTGAGCAAAGCACGGTTCACAGTGAAATGTCCTGCACAGACTCGGCCTGTGCCCAGGTTGGCCCTGTGGGGAGCCATGGCTTTTGGGCAGGAGCCCTCCAGAGCTCCCCTGTAGGCACCCTGGAACCCGGGCCGCAGACACCAGATACTCCTGCCAGTGCCCCCCAGGCCTTTTTGCTGGTGTGTGAAGCTCTTAACCAGAGCTGCCCTTGATGAACTCCAGAGGTGACCACTGGGTGTGACAGCCCCGTACCTGTCCCATACAACATGGCCAGCAGGATGGAGGAAATCCAGGCTGTGTCGCTGTAACCGATTCCAAACTCACGCATGAGCTCCTTGAAGAAGACGCTGACCGCCTTGGGGAAGGCGTAGGAGAAGCCCGTGATGACGAAGCAGCCAAAGAGAACGGCCCAGCCCCAGCCCCCATCAGGGGCCTTGATGCCTGTGGGGCCCTCGTCAACCACGGCACCACCCATGGCCAGGAGAGCGGGTTGTGCGTCCCTGAGGAAGGAAGTCAAGCTGACTCAGTTGTCCGGCCTCGGCCACAGCAGGGCCCTGCTGCCCGAGCTACCTGACAGCCCCACCTCTGGCCCCCACCTGCCTTGGGCGCAGGGCAGGAGGGTCTGGGCTGACCAGCAGCTGCAGCCCTTCCTCCCACCCCCACTCAGGCCTGGCCTGCTCCCACCCAGCTGGCTCTAAAGGGCAGTGGCTTTTTTGGGCTCAGCACAGTCTCAGGTTACCTCCTGAGGAGGACAGACCCCAGCAGGGCCATCAGCCCAGCCCAGCTGGTCCTCCCGCCTGACCCCGTGTGGGGGAACAGGCTGCACTTCCCGTCCACTGTGGGCAGGTCCTGTGAGAGGGGGCCTGGGGCCCCACCTGGGGTGGTGTCCCTGGGGGCCTAATCTAGCTGTGGCAGGCGGTGCTTTCCCACCCCCAGGGGAGCGGGGCTCCCGATTCTGTTCTCTGTCGTGCTGCCCCCTGAGTGAGAGCCTGAGGAAGCGGGGCGGGCAGGCCGGAGTGGGGGGGGCGGACAGTCATTACTGCAGAGGACGCCCCCTGTGCCCTCTGGCGAAGGAGGGACTCCTCCCTCCTAGTTATCCACAGGCTGCAGGTCTTCCAGGAGAGCTGGGCGGGTGGGGGGAGGGGGTCTCTGCAGATCAAGGAAGGGGAGACCCCAGGTGGGCAAGCCAGGCTGCTAAGGCGAGGAGGGTGCTGCCTGTGCCCACTGTTGGCCCGAAACCCCCCAGCAGCCCCGGGCCCACTCCCTGCCCAAGCCACAGCTGAGCCCCGTTGAGGCACAGTAACTTGGAATGCTGGGACCAGACGTCCAGCTGGAGACCCCAGCCTGCCCTCTGCATCCCTCGCCTCCACCTGATCCTAGCACCGGAAATCCCCTAATCCCAGAGATGAGGCCGGTGGCTCGTCACCCCAGCTCACCAGACAGAGGCTGTTTCCAGAAGAGTGCCTCCTCAGTGCAGGTGTGGGGAAGGGAGGGCAGCCCCCGGGGCCTGGGCCTGTTGGGTCCAGCCCGCTCCGCTGCCTGCTGCAGCCTGGCCACTCCCCACCAGCGTGTGCGAAAGACCAGTTCTGGGGGAAATAAGCCCCGATGGGGAGCATTTGCCAGGTCTGTGGTGTAAACGCTCCACCTACCCGGATGTCCAGGAACGTCCCAACCAGGAGACTGCACAGCCCCAGTGCCAGCCACCTGGCTCCACCCCCCGTCCCCTTCCCGACATCATCCTTGACCTTACCAAGCCCCCTGGGTGGCCCATTTTCTGTGTGCCAGGCCTCGAGCCTAGGGCAGGACTTTGGAGTGAGGACAAGGGCCTCAGTGCCCAGCCCCTGGGAGTGCAGGGTCAGCGGAGGGGGAGGAGGGATGTGGAGAGTAACCCCCCCAGCCTCCACCCTGCCCCCAGCATCACAGCCACAGGTGCCCTGCACCCGACTCTGTTGCCTGGGCGGGGGGGGGGGGGGTCTGGACTCCAATTCAGGGGTGTGTCATGTGTTAGGGGTGTTTGGGTGATTCCAAGCAGCGGCTGCTGTCGAAGAGAACCTCCGCTAGATGACGGGTCCCCAGGAGCCAGCTGGCTGCAGGCCGACGCAGCCCACTGGAGCAGAGCGCGGCCCCGGCTCCCACCCCAGGCTGGGCCAGGCTTCACAGCCACGGGCACCGCGTCTGGGAAACCCAAGAGACAAGCTCTCCTCTCCCTGGGCTCCCAGACCCCATGCCCTTTGGCACGGCCCCCCTCCCCACCGGCTCTCCCGAGTGCCCAGAAGGCTCGTGGACCGGAGAGCAAGATGCAGGGTGTTACTGAGGCCAAGGGCTGCGCAGCCCCCGGGGGGCACCCAGACCAAGGAAGCCTCTGGTCCTCCTGCAGACATGCCCACAGCCCCCCCAGGTGGCCCATTTTTGCATTTAAGGCATCCCTGGAACCCAGGACTGGACTCTGCCTGGATAGTCTGGCCTCACCCCCGGGTTTTGCCCTCCAGATCCCTGCCTCAGACTGCAGCCATGTGCCCGAGGCTGGGATGGAACACGGGGGCGAGCGCCATCCCACAGCCAAAACTCACAGGGTGTGGACACCAAGCAGAGGTATCCCCTACCCTCGTTAGCGTCAAGCTTCAAAGGTTCCTGAGGTACAAGCAGCAGGGAGACTTAATAAAAACCCCCCGAATACATCTTAGGAATATGTCAGGATGCAGTGATACTGTTTAAGACAGAAAGCACAAACCCCAGACCCAGGTCAGAGGACAGGGGTGGGGGCCTTGGGGGCCCTGAGGGGCTAGTTGTCCCCACAACTCTGGCTTGTCATGGGTTATGGGTTTACAGACGTTTATCGATTTTTTAAAAATAAAGTAAGTGGGTCATGCAAAGGCCAAAGCGGGAAGTGTGTCTGAAACCAAAAATTAGCAGCAGCTCAGCTCTGTAACCCCAGGGTCACAGAAGAACCCGGGGCCCCCTCTGAGACATCCTTGGGCTGCACCAGCCACAGCCGGCGCTCACCAGAGGAACAGGAGCCCCCAGCCTCTGATGCCCCGCTCTCTGCTCATCTGCTGCTCACCAGGGCTGGACCCCCCACCCAGAGGCTGCCCTGGGCTTCAGGAGACAGATGCTGGCCACCCGTGGGACCCAGGGCGTCCCCCGAGCCAGCACCCAGGAGGGTGAGGGGGTAGAGGAGTAGGTGCCACAGCCTAGCGGCCAGGACCTGTGTGAGCCACCGGAGGCCCACATGGGGAGCATGGCTGTCGCGCCCACCCACCCCTAGAGGCCCCAGAGGGTTCTTCAGACACTTTCCTCCCAGCTAAACCCCAGCCTGGGGTGCCAGCCAGGCTAAAACCCTCCCGGTTCCCCACACCAGCCCGTCCTCAAAGGGAGGTTTCTCAGCAAGGGCAGGGAATGGGTGGGGCCTCCAGGTTTGGAGCAAAAGCGTTTTGCCCAGAAGGGCTTTGCAGATGGGGGGGGGGGGGGGGGGGGAGGTAGAGACGGGGCTGGGATTTCCAAGAGCAAAATGGCCTTCTCAGCCCAGGTCGCCCTGGGGGAGGAAGGCTGGCAAAGGCCCAGACTGGCGGATGTTCTCAGGACAGCCCTGCCACCGGCCCTCTAGAGCCAAGATGGGAGGCGTGGCCCCTCTAGGGGCGGTTCGGGGGGCCCTCACTGCAGTGCAGGGGAAGGTGGTGGCAGCCCGTCTGTGGGTACGCAGCAGCCAGCTGGCCTTGCGATGACATTACCCTCCTGGGGAAGCATGAGAACCACGTCCCCAGCCCAGAAATAACCCGCCCTTGGGGCCTCAGAAAGCTGATCTCCCTGGTGGGGTGTGTGTGCCCGCTTGAGCGTCAGGTGAGGCTCCAGCAGCTGCCCTCCCACCACTTCCCAAAAAGGTCCCACCGCCCCAGGCAGCTGGGAGCTGCAGAGGTGGGCCCAAGGAGGCGTGTGCACGGGGATCCCCGGGAACGCCCCGTGCAGCAGACCACACATCGGAGGGGCCCTCATGCTCTCCCAAATCAAGGGCTCCTGCTAGCTTCTCCCTCAGCGGTCCACTGGCTGGCTGAACCCCAGCTGGGGTCAGCACTCCAGACCCCAGACCCTGAGCCAGCCTGGCCTCCTGCCAGGCCTGTCCTCCAGCATCACCCCCTCCCCAGTGTCCCCTTTCTCTGCCTACTCTACTCAACGGGGCGTTGAAATGCCCCGCCCCACCCACGGCATCTCCACCCGGAGGGCTAGTGCAAAGCTCACACAAACAACCTGACCCCTCACAGCCCTGGCCGTGGCCAGCCCCACATCTTCTTGGCTTCACCCACTTCCAGAACCCCTCGTGTGGTTTCACTCCAGACTGTAGACCCACTGCCGTCCCTAGTGCACTCTGGCATGCTCCCCATGAGACCTCTGTGCCAGAGGTCCTCGCACCCACCTTGGATCCTGGGTCTCTGGCCTGTCAGGCTCCAGGGCAGGCCATGTCCCCTAGGTTCAGTGTGGTGACCTCCGGCTCTAGAGCCTGTGGCCTATCCCAGGTGCTCTGTAGGTTCCCCTTCTGAGGAGACTGGCCAGTTATCTAAGCAGACTTCCAGTCCTTGGAGACCAGCTCCAGGAGGGCGGGGCATGAAGGGGCAATTGCATTCCTTCCTGGACGCTTCCTGCACCAGAAGGCCTGGGAGACACGCCTGGGCACCAAAGAAACAGCCCCATTGTGGCTATAGCACCCGAGGTCCCTGGAGCATAAGGGGGTGGTGGATGGACATAGGAGTGCCACGCCTTCTGGGGGAGGGAGGGCCCCCCAGGCCCCCTTGCCTTCCTTCCCCACTGCCCCTGTTGTGCAAACAGGTAACAGCCTATCAGATGTCTTTGCCTGCCCAGGGCTCAGAAGGCACCACTGGTCAGCGGGATTGTCCCCTTCCCAGGGCCTGTGCAGGACGCCAGATGCCGCCCCCCGCCGGGTGCAGAGCTGGGGCTGGAAGGAGGTGGGCCTTGGGCACTGCCCCAGGTGTGATCCAGGCCTGTCAAGCCCAGCCTGGGCCCTCTGCCCCACTTCCACTGACCACCAAGCCCCCCAGGGCATGTCTGGTGCCCTCAGGGCTCTCGGGTGGGCTCACATCTTCTTGCAGAGGCCAGTGGAGCAAAAATGCTGGCTTCATGTGTCAGACTGGACGCTGCACTGGGGAAGCCCCATGTGACAAGGAGGGGGTCACGGGCCCTGGGGGCGGCTGCAGGCTCGCCGGTCAGGGCGCCCTCCTCTAGAAGGCCCACAGGGGCCAGGGAGCAGTAGAGGCTGGAGCAGGCCCCGGGCAGCCCCCCTCCAGCCCTGGACCCTGCCCATTACATGGCCACCTTGTCCCACCCCTTGACTAAGGCCAAGGCCCGGAGGGGCCTCTGCATCAGCAAGCCCGCTCGCCAGTAAGGGCCCCTCCCGCCACCACCCCGGGGGGCCTGGTGGGGCTGGGGCGGTAGAGACAGGGAGGGACGCGGGAAGGGAGCAAGCTCCGCCCGCCCCGGCCCAGCGCGCTTGGCTTGGCCGAGGGACGTGGGCGACGTGACCGCGCCAAGGGAGGAGCCGCCACCGTATTGCCTGGAGTAGGCGCTCTCCCCGTCTGTTACCGTATAGGCCCGGCGCGCGGGCCGCTGGGGTCAGGGAGCTCCGGAACGGCCCTGGGCGCTAGTGGACGCCCGCGCCCGCCGAAGGAGATCCTGTGGCCCCTCCCGCGGCCCCCCAGGGCGGGACCGACCTCATTTTCCCTCTGCAGGGGCCCGGCCATGTGGGCGCAGCTCAGACTGGGAACGTTGACTGAGAACGCCCCTTTGCAGGAAGGCTTCCCCGCACCGCCCATTTCACAGATGGGGCCGGAAGGTCTGTACTTGCCCGGCAGCACTGTGAGGAGTCCCAAGCCTCTCCACCCCTGGCTCACCGGAGGTGCCTCCCCGATGGATTGGTTGCTCTGTGAGGCAGTCGTCACCCTACTGGACTCCTAACTTTGGAGTGGCACTGGCCCTTCTCCTTTACGCGGGCAAGATCACTGCCGGGACCCACCCTGGAGCAAGTAGGGCCTGGCCCAGGGGACAGCACAGGCCCCCCCTTTACATACACTCCCTGGCCACTGTCCTGGAGAGCACGAACCCCCCCACACCCGTTGCTGCCCCTCCACACTGAGGTTCTAGCTGGAGTCTGGCAGAGCCAGGTTGTCTCCTGGGTATCAGGCCCTGACCAAGGTCACACCAAGTCACTACAGAGCCTGCCCTGGGACCAGGTCTCCCATTGCCCAGCCCAGGCTCAGCCCACACCACAGGCCCCTGGGCAGGAAGGCTCCACACCTGCCTGAGCACTGCCACCTGTGCCCTCAGAGCCCTTCTGGGGGCAAGCCTCCCACCAGAGGAGCCACTGCTCAATCACACTGCCCACCCACAGAGTGATGGCACACTCTGTCCCTCACACCCAGTGTGCACTTCTGGACATGTAGCTCAGTGCCTCTGGGATAGAAAAGCACTCTGGCCTCTGGGCTACCCCTTTATCCCTCACCTAGATGCCCAGGCACCCCCAGTGGCCATGACCTGACTGCTTCCCTTCCACTCACAGCCTGCCTGCCACTGGCCTCATCCAGCATCCAGGAAATTATGTTGTCAACCCACTTTCCAGGTAAGTAAACTGAGGCCCCACCTGGTTTTCCATGGGCCAGGGGCCTGGCGGGGGGAGGAGGGGTCGAGACGAGCCAGGGCGTCCAGCCTGATTCAGAGGGAGCCCCCTACCTCTCTGCCCCGGGCCTGGGCTGGGAGCCGTCGCCCGAGGGCGGGTGTGGGATGGCGAGTGTTTGGGCGCGGCGAGAAGCGGGAGGAGGTGAGGGAGACAGAGGCCCGCGGGCCAAGACACCACCACCGCCCAGCGCCACGCCGGGCGCGCACGTGCACCTCGCGCCCTCGGGAGGAACGAGCCCGGCCAGGCAGCAGCCCCACCAAATGCCGCCCGCCGCCGAGCACAGAGCTCTTCACACCCGCTACCCGGCTCGGCTGCCCCGCGCATCCGCCTCCTGGCCGGGGCCCAGCCCCTGAAGGCACAGGGGCGCATGGGGGCCGGGTCCGAGGGCGCGGCGGGGGCGCGGCTGGCTCCCCGGAACCCCTCGGTGGTGGCCGCCGCGGAGGTGGGGCGCCCGAGGCCGGGATGGGGAAGGGGCTGGGGGCGGGAGCGCGGGCTCGGCGGAGGGTCCCGGGCCCGCCCAGCCGAGCATCCGCGCCGCGCCTACCTGCCGCCGCTCGGCCGCCGCGCGCCTCTGTCCGCCTGGCTGCCGGGGGGACTCGGAGCTCCGGCCGCTCGCGCCGCACGTCCCCCGCGCGTCACCGCCGCCTGGCACCGCCCCTGCGCGCCCCGCCCGGACCCCACGCCGCGCGGGAGGGGCACCCGGAGCTCCCGACGGCACCCGAGCTCTCGCGGGGCGGAGGGACCCCTACCCCCACCCCCACCCCCACCGCGCGGACCCGGGCCGGGGAGGGAGGTGCGCCTTCTCGCCCTGCCGCTCCCGCTCCCCCCGCGCGCCCGGGCCGGCCCCCAGGTCTCGCCCCCGCCCCGCGGCTGCACCCCCGACCCTGTGGGGCTCCCACCTCCCCGCTCAGCTCTGGGGCGCTCAGGCCTCCCTCCCCAGGCCCCCCTGGAATCTCCGCCCCATCCAAGCCACGGCTTCCTCCCAGGCTGGGGGGTGGGCCGGGCCCCCCCCCCCCCCCCCCCCCGCGCAGCCGGAGGGATCGTGGACAAGGCAGTCAACGTCTCTGAACTTCCGTTTCCCCATGTGGCTCCGCGCCCTGCGAAGCCAGATAAAGGCGGTGCCCCTCCCCTCAGGCGCCCAGAACCCGGCCGCAGTGGGGTGGGACACCGGTCCCGGGGCGCTCCCCAAACCCACACCCGCCGACGCTCGCCCACGGGGGAAGGCGGATCCCAGCTGGTCCCAAGTAAGGTGCTTCAAGCCCCATTTTCTCATGTGTGTCATGGAAAGAGCTAGCTCAAGTTTGAGGATGTGCCAGGGAATGTGGCCATTGGTGGCAGCCACCCAGCCGGGACCACAGAAACACTTTCCACCCAGCCGACTTTGAAATGACACTCCAAGTCTCCTGGGACTACAGGAGGCTGAGACATTGGCGACTCTGTGTTCATGGGGTTGGAGGGCAGAGAGCATCAGTAGAGGATCACCACCTCCAAGGTAAAGGGGAGTGGGGGCAGAGTGACAGTATTGGCCTCCTGGCTGAGTCCACCATCCGACTGCCCCCCCTGAGATGCCAAGTCCACCAAGGCCTTCTGCTTTCTCTTTGGGATGCTGAGAGACCACACCCAACGTGTCCCCTGTGAAAAGAGCCCTGGCACTCAGAGGCTGGGCTGGGTCTGCCCCTACCAATGCTTGGGGCCTGACCACCCACACCCCAAAATGCTAAAGAAATCGCCCCATAAGAAAAAGGTGAACAGAGCC